TAGGGTTACCAACCGTACTCTTTAAAGAGTACATGTACTCTTTTCGAGGTCGGAAAACAGTGTACTCTTACTTTTCACTTATTGTACTCTTTTTTTAAAAATGAGACAAAATTTAAAAAATTATTATTTAATATTTATAAATTTATACGAAGTTATGCTTGGTTTGTACTAGGTTGTGTTAGGTATTCATATAGTCAGTTCTTATTTGAAGACTGTCTTTGTCTTAAGACGCGAATGCGGCCCTCTAATTGGTTCGTGACACCTGAAGACTGTACATATATGGTTGTTACATAAAAGATTGAGTTTTTTTTTTTAATTTGAATTAATTTTAATTGTCCAATTTTAATAATGTTATATGTATAAATGTAGTTACTAAAACGCAAACAAATATTACTTTTATTATATCAACATATATTTAGAAGTTACATTGCACACATGTCATTTTATTGAATATCCACCGGCAATCAATAGAGAAAACCTTTTTCTTCATTTCCCTTTTTTTTTTCTTTTGGAAAATGTACTCTTTTTGGCAACCAATATACTCTTTTTCTGAGGCCTTGGGTTGGTAACCCTACTAATGTCACGTAAATGCTTTCTTAATATACGAAGCTTTCGCCTGTCAACTGCATGCTCTTCCTCTTTGTTCGCAGCATTTACAGCGAGAAAACACATAATATCCATTTCGAAGGTAGTTTGTATCAATTTTTCTAAGAAATAACCAGAATTTCACATTTTAGGCATCTCGTTACTTGCCGAAAATTTTCCCGTGAACAATTTTACATTTTATAACAGCTAAAAGTTACTTAATCGCTTATTCATTACATTCACGTGAATTTGTTCACTTTTTGTGTATTCGTTCCTAGGGGAAACTTTACATAATCGATACCCTAGTCTTCTTGTTTCCTATTTCCGTGGTTCGGAAAGTATGTATGTACATACATTAGATCTGAACTTTGTTAAACTTTCTAAACTTATTACACCGGTGAATCAATTCAGAGAATTATTTGATAAAGACAATTAGATATTGTCAGAATTATCAGTAATTAATTATTATTAATTATTAATAATAATA